GATGGCCCCCGATTAACCCTTATTTACACCTTGACAACTAGATCCAACACCATTATTAGACCCAAAACTTCCCAAAACACCTACACATGAAATTTCAAACCAAGATTCCTCTATTTCCCCTCCATTAAACCAAGGTTCCATTTTGAGCCTTCTCGTTAGCCTAAACATCCACAACCGAGATCCCCTTGATCCTAACACCTCTAAACCAATCAGACCATATGATTGAACCCTAGACACACCAAAACATTTACCCATAAATTTTCAACCCAAAATTCTCACATTTACTTGTTCATAAATCTAAGATTCCATTTCAAACCCTTTTGTAGACCCAAACTCCCATGATCTTGATCCCCAAAACCAATCAGATGTTACCATCAAGTCCTAGACACCCTAAAAACCCTACCTACAAAATCTCAACCAAAAACACCTTTGCTTTTCCCCCTGTCACACTAAGATTCCATTTTAAAGCCCTATATTGACCAAATCACTACCCTTCCAAATCTTCCCAATCTTGACCCCCCTTGAGCCAATTAGACATTACCACCAGATCCCAGATACTTGAAAACCCCATCCAGCCAAATTTCAACCATAATTACCTTTCTTTGCCCCTTCATCGCACAAAGATTCCATTTTGAGGCCCTAAATTGAATGAATCACTTCCCCTTCCAGATCTTCCCGAGTTGGGCCCAGTTGGGCCAATTTGACCCCACCATTCAATCCAGAATCTTCAAAAACGCCACCCTACCAAATCTCAGCCAGAATTACTTCAAATTACCCATTCATCTAAAAAGATGTTTCGGCCAATCTCACCGGTTCACACTTCACACACATAAAACCATTGTGTATTGTCAGACCCATCTCCACCCTCCATGTCTTGACCCAAAATCCCCACCATTCAATCAGCATTTTGAATTGACCCTCTTAAACCCAAACTTACCAAAATACCCCTAAACTGTTAAAAATTATGAAAATACCCCTAGCTCCCCCATATAAATTTAAACTAATGACTTTCATTTGCCCTAATCCCCCGAATACACTGTTCATCGTCCCCTACCGCCTGACACAACAACAGCGATGCAGTGAGAACTCTCCACTCCCATTTTTCCTTACCTAGTTTCATCTTCATTCCTTTTCTCTCCCTCCGTTTTCACTCTCTCTCTCTGTTCCCCTCTCTTTATTGCCATCGACAACACTTGGGACCCCTTACCATCACTGCAACGAGTTGCAGCGGTGCATTGGAAGTGGAGGCCGAACCTCTTCAGCCCATATTCCCATCGTCCTCGTTGTAGTCACCTATAGCTGTCATCATTAGGAGAAGGAGAACAACGAACACTCTCGGTTCCCCTGTCACGGCAATAAGTCTCAAGCCAAAATCCCAATTCAGGTACACCCATTCTCTCATGCTTTCTTAGATCTCTTTCATGTGCTGTTTCATCTCTTTATTTTTTCTCATCTTCCCACATGAATTGATTGGGATTTGAGGAGCAGAGGAGAGTCAACGAAGCTGTTTCAGCCAGCTCCAATAAGCTCTCCACACCCACCTCATCCGACCATAGCTCTCAGTTGTGTTTCAGCTTGTGCATAGATCAAATCTTATTACCCTGCACCCTTGTCATTTTGAAATCTGATTTTTATCTGATATTACTTTTACTTTCCAATAATCTGAGATTAGGACTACGATCCCTCCAATTGTGTTTTTTCCCGATGGTTACTTAAATCCCAATTTAATATTTCTTAGTTGCTTTACAAATCAATTGCTTACCATTCCTGTTATATATCTTCCTAATGGTTGATCAATAGTTTAAGTCATGTCTGTCTTTGTTTCAGTTATCTGAGTCTGACTTAAAGTAGTTCTCTGTTTTGTCTTTGAAATTATGCTAAGAAATGTTGTTTTCCGTTGAACGGATTGTTTTGCTTGTCACCAGATTCAGAGAGGTGACCGATCTGAACTCTCTAGTAAACAAGAGTATTTTCTGTATGAGATAAGAGAAGAAATAGGTATTTATCAAAAAAAAAAAAAGAAACAAGTAAACAGATAAATAATACATCAGTAAAAAAATAATAAAAAGTCAATAAAAAAGAGAAAGGAAAAAGAACTAGATCCGAGGTGATTTGGCATCTCACAGGTTATAGGAGTGAGGAGTGTCAGTTATGGATAGCAAAATAATTCTGAAAAAAAATAATAAAATAAATAAATAATGATAATAAACAATAAATGTTTATGTAAAAAAATATAACAATAAAAAATATGTGATAATGGGTGGCTAGCTTAGTAGTTGGGAAATGTTAGCAAGTTGGGGATAGTTACAGAGAAAATAACAAAAATAAATAAATAAATAATTGATGAAAATAGAAAAAAGAGAGACAATAATAAAATAAAAATGTAACAATAAAAAATTAAAAAAATAGAAATTTAAAAATAATAAATAAATGAAAAATAATAATAATAAATAAATAAGATGAAAACGAAGCAAAAATAAAAATAAAAAATAGATAAATAAAACAGGGAGGATTTTCTTTTATGTTGGCTTGTTCTTGTGATTTGCTTTCTTGAGTATTATGTTTGTTGATTAATTGTTTATCCGTAATAATACTTGTTTGGGATGTGATGTGGGCCCCACCCACTGGACCCGGGAGATGGGTGCCTAACCCCTTCCCTCTCCCATCTGAGTCTTACCCGAACTGGTTTAGCTAGTGCCTCAGGCTATTAGATAAAAATGGTTTTGACGTACTTCTTGAAGGTCCCATCACCTCCATTTCCTCAACCAATGGGTGGCGACTCCAATTCAGCCCAAGTGAGCCATTTTCCACCTCTGACACTATGCTCCTTCCATCTTTAGCACTAGAGCTTGTGCATCCTCCTCCCACTACTTACATTGTAAGTTCTCCTTCTGTTGACTCACCCCCTCCTTTTTCCTTAACGTTGCTCCACCCATATTTCTTGTCCTCTTGATCGCTATGGTTTCTCCTCTAATCATAGATCCTAGTTTGTTGTTTTATCCTCTATAGACATTCAAAAGTCTTATTACCATGTCATGGTTGTTACGCATTGGAAAGATGCTATGGATGCAGAAATTCAAGCCTTAATGGAAAATGACACTTGGGACCTTGTCTTTCCTCCTCCAAATGTATCTATTATCAAGGTTCAAAGTATCGATACACTTTTGTGTATCGGCAAAAGATGTATCGGTACTAAAAAATGTGCTTTTATATTTTTTTAGTTTTTTTTCGAAAATTGGTTTTTATATAGGTTTTCAGATATTTTTATTAAAAAAGGGTTCCCGAACCACTTGTTTTGGAACCCAAAAGATACAACATGATACGCCCGATATGGGGTGTATCGTATCAAAATTTTAATCCTTGTCTATCATTGGTAGTAGATGGATTTATTCAGTGAAACTCAAATTTGATGGCACTCAGGACAGATACAAACCCCGTCTGGTTGTACAAGGGTACAAACAAGAGTGTGGCATTTAACTATGAAGAAACTTTTGCTCCTATGACCAAGATGACTACAGTTCATCTTCTTTAGGCCATCACTACTATTAGACAGTGGACTATGCATCAGATGGATGTTAAAAAGGCTTTTGTTCATGGACACTTGTAGGAGACTTTATATATGAAGACTCCCCCTAGGTACTATGATGGTTCCTGCTTGATATGCTAACTAAAGAAATCTCTTTATGGGCTCAAACAAGCTTCTCGAGCTTGGTTTGAATGTTCCATTTAGTTGTTCTGGAAGTCAGTTTTCAATAGAGTTTTTCTAATTATTCTCTTTTCACCCTCAATAGGGCCTAAGGATTGACTCTTCTTTCGGTGTATGTGGATGATATATCCTAATCACTGGGGATGATGCGGATGGAATTGATAAATTGAAGATCCTTCTCAATAACACCTCCAAAATGAATGATCATGAACCAGTCACTATTTTTTTGGGTTTAGAAATTAAAAGCTCGTCTCAAGGGTATTTTGTCAACCAACACAACTATGTTTTTGATCTTGTGTAGATAGCCCGTCTTACAGACTCTTAAACAGGTTAACATTCCTTTGGAACTCAACCTAAAGTTAAGCAAAGATGTTGGTGAATTGCTCCTTGATGCCATCTCTGTATTGGCAGTTTGTGGGCAGCCTTATCTACCTGTGACTAGACCAGATATCTCTTATGTTGTTCAACTAATCAGTCAGTTTGTTTTTGCTCCTTGACACCTCCATTGTTTCATCCGTTCTTCGGATCATTTACAGGGGACAATATCTCATGATCTGTTTTTCCCATCCTCATCTACTTCTCTACTTAGAGGCAATGCTGACGTTGATTGGGCTGGCTGCCTTTAACACATGCTGCTCTACTAGCAGGTGGTGTATTTTCCTTTGTAATTCTCTAATCTCTTGGAAATGCAAGAAACAACAAACTATGTCCATTTCGTCCACAAAATCAGAGTATCATGCAATGTCCTCAGTATGCAATGAAATTATGTGGTTCAAGGCAACATTGGTCATTCATCCTCCATTCCTCTTTTTTTCTGACAACAAGAGTGCCATCATTATAGCTTCCAATCCTGTGTTCCATGAAAGTGCCATATTTCTCTTCCCCATGTTTTTTCTTGCCTGCAATTGACAAATCTATTCATCAGATCTACGTCTCAGGCCAGGTATATGTTTCCTATTGACAAACTGATGCTTGTTCTCCAACATCAGTTTGAGGGGGAGTGTAGAGAAAAGGGGTAATTTTGTCTTTGTACTGCTCTATTGTATTATATTAGTGTAATACGTATACTGGAAATCTTTGTACCTTATTGTATTTTACTTCCTTATGTAAGGGCAGTCATGTACTTTTACTTCTTTTAATATGAAGTTATGCTTTCTAGGTTGGGTCAATTGATTGAGACCAATCGGACAGACTTGGAAGTCTCTGTATTTTCTCTCATCTCTCTCACCTTCTAGGTCAATAGGTTAAGTTATTCTATAATTCATTATGAGATTGGGAATTAAATGCAACATACCTTGTAAACTGGTCCAAATCCCCCCTCTCCTAGCTTGTTGTTGGGATTGAAGTCCTCTGTAGCATTTTTCAGTTCAGCATAACTGAATGTGTTTGGCTTGGGACCTATTGTAATAAACTCTGCAAATAAACACAAAGGTAGGTTATAACTTCAATCAAAGAGTTCTCTACATTTCTACCACTGTTTATCCACTTCATTAATAATAGTACAAAAGAAGATGAAGCCAAAAAGATAAAACCTCAAAGTGTATGGTCAATGCCCCATTTAGAGTGATAATGTGATATTGTGAATCCAAAGAAGAAAATTTAGCATATTCTACCTTCTATGTCCTCATTGTTGCTTGACCTTTTCCTTTTCAAGTAAAAAGCTATTACAATTACCAGCAGGCTTGCAATTACAACACCTACTACTAGTTCAACAATCAATCCCATCTTTCTCCTCGTGGCTGTGGCTGTGGCTGTGGCTGTGGCTGTTGGTGGAAAGCCACTAACAGTTGGTACGAAGTCTGACCAAGAAATGCATAATTAGTAATTTTTAGAAGAATAAAAGAATACCAGGTTCTTTTTTTTCTGTTTTGATCAGTAAAGAATATCAGGTTCTTTGCATCCATTCATATTAAACCAGATTCGTCCATCAATTCCTACTACATTACCTGATGTTACAGCCAAGGCAGAGATAGAAGGTCCATAGTCACCTTGTTCAGGTATGCAGCAAGTACCTTTTCCAGCCCAGAAAAGATGAATTTCAAGAAAGTTCTCAGATACATTAGCTGTAAATTCTTTTTGAACGGCTTTGTTAGAGGCCCCACCTGCCTCTTTTCTTATATCAAAGCCTTTTAATCGTAGATTCCCCTAAAAGATTAAAAATGTAGCTTTAACAACCAAGAAGGTATCTTGTATCATTATTCATCAAAAACAAAGTTATCTTGTACCATTAGGTATATATACAAACTAAAAGCACATCATCAAATATTCATGAAACCTAAGAATTTTTCTATTTAATTTTGGTATTTTGTAAGATAAACTAAGAAATTTAATAATTGAAATATGAGTTCCGGATCCAACTAATGAAATTTTAATTGAAAATTCTCTTGTAATCTTGTAAGCTCCACCAAGTATATTCCAATGAGAGAAAGGAAAATTTATCTATATACCCACACACACACACAATTTATATGGCCAAGCTATATTCTCATCATAATTTTTTTTAATGGATGGGTTCAACTAATTAGAAATGGGTTGGAATAATATGCAACTTTCTGGATTTTAGGACTTTTAAGTGACATACAAAGCAAAACATCACTAATTAGAAATAGAGACGCTCAGCAAAGATTTCTTTGACAGATGTATAATTGTATACCTGTATATAAATGTCAAAAACACGCCTTCCAGTACTTTTCCAAGATTGTGAGCTTGCATCGCTGATTATTGTCTCTGCAAACCAAAGGCTTACTGTGTACTTTCCATTCTCCAAACCTAGGCCATAATATCTTAGTGATCCCGGAGATAGCCTTGACGTTTGGAAGAACTCAGTGGTTAAAATACCTGCACCTTCAATTTGTCCATCGGTGCTTTGGAAATAACTAGGTGTCTGTCTATCAACAAACAATCCAACATTGCTAACTCCCCATTTTTTGGTATCAGTTACATAATATGATGCTGGTCCAAGAGTTTCGTTTTCTCTCTCAAACAGTCGATCAGCAGGAGATACCATATCTAGACCACCACACTTGATTGAAAAGTTGGCATCTGTGAAAATAAGTTTCCATGGTTCAAATTAGTTCCAATATAGTGCACAAGAATAAATGTCAAGATATAGGTTATACCTGTCTACCACTCCATCTATGTCACTAATGAATGTTTATGAAATCAGATGTTCAAAGAAGAATCGAACAAATTGCTTGCAAGGTCTTTTACTAGATTATATGAAAAAATGTGCTATGCTGTTTGGTGTGATATTTGTTAATAATGCTTACTCAACTTTATGTTTCTCTCTTATTTTCTATCAAACAGAACACACCCTAAATGATCAAAATCTTTTTTGGCAGCCTAAAGTAATTAATAATTACTCAAAAGTGTGGTTAGTTACTTTTCCCCAATTTCTTTAATAAATTTTAATATTTATCTAGAACTTAGAAAATGAGGAAGAACTTCCTTTTCACAGGCCATTTTTGTCTAGAAAAGTGAGTTAAACAACTACAGCAAAAACAAGAAATGTTGAGCATCATAAGAAAGCAATAAATATAAACTGCAGGACTTACAACGTGGAGAACCTCCATTGCATGGAAAATTTCGCTGAAGACATTCTAGACCTGGAGAAAAAAGACTTAAAGACATAACAATAATTTCGTAAGAATCAACAGTAATACTTTGAACATTTGATTTAGACTAGAAAATTAAAAAGAAAATTGGGCAAGACAGAACAATTAACGTATTTTCTTTGCAACACAACATTGTTAAAAATGTTTTTTAGACTGTTTAAAAATATAACAGCTCACCTAGAATTTGAATTGTCAAATATAAAATTGTTTGCAACCAAGTTCCTGCAAATTCCACCACAGGTAGGTTGCACTTAATGCCATGGATATATAAAATTTTATGTTATTAATGCAAGGGACAAGCATTAAAAAATACCAGCTTCCATATTAATTCAATAAATTCCTTTCAACAACATTTTAGTATTGACATACTTTTCATGCTCAAAATTTCTTTCTAAATCTGGTTATAAGGTGTTAGAATGCTAGAGTGTGTTCGGTTGATAGGGTCTCCTATTAGCCCATTCTTATGTTAATTTTATCTTGTAACTGGGCCTTTGCTAATGGGCCTAATCCTGTTTATGTTTTAATTCTTCTGGTTGTCCCATTACTAATCAGGGGTATACCAGTAATTTTATTGTACTTTGTACTTCACTTATATTTAAATAAAGGCCTAGTCGACTGCTAACACAGTTCGACATTCTCAGCATCTAAGGAGTTCATCCTCTTCTTCACTACTTCGAGTTCAGCTTCTTAGTTTACATGGTATCAGAGCATTAGCTCCTTCCTGGTTTCAACCGGTGCACTATCTTCTCTTGCTACCTTCTTTCATCTTCTCCTTTCTTTCTGGGTTGCTGCAGTGAAGACCTAGGAGTGTAAGRGARYWMARCAAGTTYGAACCTAGGGTTTCTCTTGGTTGTAGGACTCAAGGGAAGTAAGACCCAGAAGTAGATGTCCTACTAGTTTTTTTTT